AGGGAAACCAGAGCAGTGTGGAGTGTGGAGTATTTTAGAAATCAAGGGAGGAGAGGTCTTTCATGGTGAAAAGGCTGATAGAATTAGATACATGCAGGGGGGATAAGAATTGTGAAAAAGCCCCAGAGCATGCCAGAGTTAAACTGACTAATTTTATGAAGCCTTAGGATTTTAAAAAAGGGTTTTTCTTCCAGTATAAACATACTATTGCACTATTTTTTTTTGCTACTTCTTACAAGATTAGTGTAATGCTTAATTCACTTGATAAACTGTGGGTGCTCTCTAAATTCAGATTCAAGAGAGAGAATCACTCCTGAGAAAATTTGTTTTTTTAGATTTTGCCATATTTAGAAGTTGCTGAAGTTCAAGAGGCAGTGAGTAATACATGGTGCTATGTTTGAAATGTTAAAATATTTTTGTGTTTTTTCAGGATTTCAAGTTGGATTTTTAAAATGTGTTTTTCACTGTATTTCATCAGAGATGATTGTCATTATAAAAAGTAGTATAGATTGAAAAGATTAGTTTAAAAATTGTTTTCATTTTTTCCAAAATTAAATGGCTTTAATTTTTTTTTGGTTATAAAAGAATGCAAACTCATGTGGCATATGTAAATGATACTGAAAATATAAATAAAAATTCTAATTATAAAATAAAATGCTAATTCTAGATGGTGTGACAAATATTTAGGAGTATATTAAAGTAAAATCACATCTGTACATAATTCTCTTTTCCTGAAATGTGTAGACTAAAATTAGTAAAGATTTAGATAATGGTTATATTTCATGCTTTTAGTTAAAGTCTGTTTTAGTTATTAGTGTATTCACTAATAATAAGTAGAAAAATTTTAGGCATGTTACTATTATTTTGCTATTTTCAGCTTATACTTAATGCCAAAATTCAGAACTTACAAGGAAATTATTGAGATGCCTGCAGACCATGCCTAAGGGATAATGGTAAACTTGTTACTCAAATAGAGAAAATGTTTCTGTCCTGTTTTGCTCCTGTTTTTCTGAACAAGCTGAGGAGAAGTTCCTGGATTGAGAGGCTAGCAGTCTTTTGGTTCTCTAACAAAAGCCAAAAAGAGTGGCTGGCTTTTTATTTTTTTTAGTATCTTACAAGATACCATTTCCACATCAGTAATTTCAGATTGGCTCTATTCATGTGTTATGCAACATGGAACTGTGCAAGTTAGGCCCAGGCCATAAAAGCGCTAAGGATAAGAAGTGGAGTGTGTGGTTTAGCTATATGCAGAAGACGTCAGAAAATAAGTTGCTTGGTAAAATTAGTATGTAATCTTCAATCACTTACATCTCATTTATCATTAGCTTCATCAGCAAGCGATTGGGGAGGCTGATTTCACTGCATCCCATTCAGAGCCTTGTACCCACATCCTTTTGGGGACAGCTTCTGAAGTCATATATATTTTTCATTGTGTTTCTGCTTTCAGAGTGTTTCAGCTTAATTCTTAGTTTTGTTGTTCCATTGTAATATGTTTTCTGGTGCCTTTCTTTTATTCAGGGGCATTTTTCAGTCTCCTGTGATTAAACCATTCAGGTCACAAAGCCTAACTCTCACAAGTCATCATTACACAATTTCATTATCAGCCTGAACCTTTCCCTGTATATGTCCAACTGTATACTTGACATTTTGACTTGGATAACAGGTATTTCAAACCTGTCCCAAACTGAGCTTACTTCTATTTCTCCCTGTAAACTAGCTACTCTCACTGTCTTTTTTATTTCAGATCATGGCAGTTCCATCCTTTCAGGAGTTCAGACCCCAAAAAGTTGATATCATTTTAATTCCTCCTTGTTTTCCTTTACCTCATACTTTGTCTATTTGGAAATACTGTTGGCTCTGATTCAAAATATATTAAAAACTCAACTACTTCTCATCATCCTCCCTACTGTCACGTTGCTCCAGGGCTCATTCATCTGTCCCCTAGATCATTGCAATAGCCTCCTAACTGATTATTCCCTTGTACCCTAGTCTGTTCTCAACACAGCAGCCAGCATAATCTTGTCCAGACTACCCAGATTGTGTCAGAACGATACAGTGGCTCCCCATATCACTCAGAGTAAAACCACAGTCCTGTGAAGTCCTTACAGTCACGCACTCATTTACTTCTTTGACTTCCTTGCCTGCTGCTCTCCTATTTGAATTGTATTCCAGCTTCTCTGGCCTTTATGCTGTTCCCCAAATGCCCTAGACTTGCTCCCAACTCAATCCTTTACATTTGCTCTGTCCTCTGCCTGGAATAATCTTCCCCTTTATGTTCCTTATCATACATTCCCTTACTTTATTCAGTCAACTCTGTAGTAAAGGCTTCTGAGGCCACCATATCTAAACCCTCTTCCCTAGTATTTTATATGTCTTCATTCTCAGCTTATTTTGCCTTAGTATTATACTATATAATGTACAACAAATTTTTACTTATTTTTTATATTTTTTTCATCTCCCCCACCTGAATATAACTACCACAAGGGCGGGATTTTTGTCTATTCGTTCACTACTATATCCCTCAGTGACTAAAATGGTGCTGACTGTATTGTAGGTAAAGTAAGTATTTGGATGGATGGATAAGTGGATCACTGATAGGAATAGATAATACTTATTTTGTTTATTCTTCAGTACCTCAATCTGAAAAAAAAATTGGATTAATCCAGTAGAATCAGATTTATATGACACAAAAAAATGCTTGGAAATATAATGTTGTAAGTCAACATAATAAATATGCTGAAATAATGTTTCTGAAACAAATATTCACAAGTTGTATATGCTAGGGATTTTTTTCTGGGAGTAAACAGGCACAGAGTACAACTGCACAGAAGTTGACATAGTGCCATTAATCAACAATACTTGAGAATATAACAGAACTGTACCATGAAAGTGAACTGAATCTTTTATCCTAAATAGAAGACCAACTCAGAAACCTTCAAATGTGACTGGCTCAGTAGCATTAAATACTCCCAGCTAGTAATATATGATTAGGACTATTGATTTCCTTTAGAAAGTTACTAGTAAGTCTGGGGAAACTAGTAATATTCATTTCAGTACAGGAAAATCTTTTTAGAAGATGTGTGTGAAGCATTCATGAAATTAGCAGTTATCTCTGCCAGTTTCCTACCTTCCTTCAGTTTCCCAATATCATATTAGTTACTTATTGGTACATAAAAATTCATCCTCAAATTAAGTGTTGTCAGATGACAAGCATTTATTACCTTACAATGTCTGTAGGTCAGCAGGCTAAGAGCAGCTTTACTAGGTGTCTCTGGTTCAGAATCTTTCCTGTGGTAGCAGTCAGGTTGCTGGGGGGAAATGGGGGTGGCTGCTGCATTCCCACCGGACAGCTTGACTGGGTGGCTGGAGGCAGGGAGGGTGGAGGCGGGCTCACTTCGTGTTTGTTGAAAAACATCAATTTCTTCACCTCGTGGGCCTGTCTTCCAGGCTGCCTCCTGAGATGGCAGCTAGCTTTCCCCAAGGGTGATTTATCTAAGAGAGAGTGAAAGACTGCAAACAAGATCGAAGTCATACTGTTCTTACAGTCTAATCTTGGACATGACATCCCTCTGCTTCTGCCATATTCTCTTCATTAGAAGTGATTCAGCAAGTCCAGCAAATGCTCAAAGAGAGAGGATTATATACCAAGAAGGTGGGGATCTGGGCTCTTTTAGGGATTACCTATACAAATTATTTAATCTCTTCCCACATGCTAGTTATGGTAACATGGCCTTCAGTAATAGGATTAAGCACAATCAGTTCATTGTCACTAAAGCTCTATGTTTTGTTTGTTTGGTTTTAGTTTTTATCTGTGAAACAAATCAGTTTATAGAAGAATGAGCTTAAATGGGCAACTACAGAAAAGTGGATAGAGCAAATGCCTTTAAAGGCATTAGAACAGAATTTCTGGCATTGTGAAAAAGCCATCACTTAGGGAAGTAACGGGTGTTTTTCCTAGGAGGCAACAGAAGCTCAAAACTATGGCCACAGTCTCTTGATGGTAGCAGTTAATCCTTATTCCCTTTAAATGAGTCCAGACAGTAATGTCATCAACAGGAGTTTTTGGTTTTGTTTTAATTTAGTTTTGATGTGTTAACCCTGTTTGGTATTTGAAATGGAGTGCTTGAGGATTCTCTTCCTTCTAAGGGAAACCAAGACACTTGTCAGATAGGCACCATTTAGCATAATGTATGTTAAAATAGTTATTAGACAAAAAATCGGTCTTCTGTTTCTGTTAGTTGATTGAAGTTACTCATTTAAGAATTGGGTCTTCTGATTTTCTAAAGACTAGTAGTTCTAGATGATATGCTTGATATTTGGTGGTCCTGAGAAAATTTTGTCTGACTTCATAAAATATACTATTCTAATCAATATTCCTCTTTGGGTTTTTTTTTGCCACTTGAGAAAAATAATATTCTACTTTGTTGATGTCTTTGTAAAAAGCTCTTTTGTGCAATGCTTGGCATATACTAAGCACTCAGTAAAAGCTCCTTTCTTTTTGTAGAAGAAACAGACTGAATTTCTATATAGTGTTAAGTGCTTCCATGGCATGCAGAACTAATATTTATTGGTGCATAGGTGTTATATGTTTTTAAACCACTTAAATGTGAGGAATGAATAACTTTTGGCTGTCCCTTACGTTTCTAAATAATTTTTACCACTCCTAACCTGTATCTTGAATTAGAATTCAGAGTAATTTTTGACTTGAGTAACTTTCAGAACAGTATAGTAGGGTGATTTCATTTTTCTCTTAACACCTTCATTTTCCAAAACTTAAACAACATTTAACAATGCCTAAGAAAGCCAAGATCTTTTTATGTGTAGAAAGGAAATTCCTTGTTCATTTTGATGATTAGGATTGATGTGCATGTGCTTTCTACTTATGAACTAATGCTATTTTCCTTGTGCTTTTGTTTCACTGCTGCTTCAATCCTGATGCATTTTGCTTCTTCCTGGTTTGGACTGTATTTGTTTGCTGCTCAATTACCCTGCGTTAAAAGCTTCTTGGTGATAGCAAAGATGTCCTTGGGCCATCAAGTAAGTAGCTAAAGTTTGAATGGCATGTTTGGAGACATGATAATATTTGATGTGTACTTATGAAAGGCATATAATATGGTGTTTCTGTTTTGATACCAAGTCTCTACTTTTCTTTCAGGCACTGAAATACACAGTAAGGAATATAAATGGTCATTTAGTGCTGGTCTGTTGTCAGTGTCCATCTGGGATTGATAGTGTTTGTATATTTACATCTTGATTATCTAAAGATGGATTATTTGCTTAGCCAATTATCTAATTCATAATTTAGGACCTCTTCTTAATAATATTCCTTCCTACAATCATCATAAAGCATAGATCAGACTACTTTGAGGCTGGATGTGGTACAAGAAATTCACTGAAGTATGAAAATGAGAAATACTGTTTTATTTTGTAAGAATTTGGTGTTGAAAAAACAATTTACTTTTTAAAAAAGTTTGCGGGAATTTCGCAACTGAAACATGTTTCATTTTAGAAATTTAGAAGATGTACCCTTTAAATTTATATCCAGAATTTTTTTGACTTGATGTTGTGGTAGCCTTGGAGAATACATGGTGAATAAAACATGCCCTGCCCTTAAGGATCATTCTAGTTCCGCAGAGGAGTTAGACCCATGAACAGATGGTTTCGAAGCACTGTGACAGAGACAACTTCTGTATTAAAAATCATAGAATTACTGAGGTAAAAGGAACTTCAGATATTATCTAATAAAGCATTTATTTTAAAGATGAAGAGCCTGAAGCTAAGAATTTAAATATCAAGGAGTTAAAATTGGTTACTAGCCTGTTGTGTCTTACTCGTTTTCAGAAATCAGAATTACACTAATCAGTTTGCTGACTTCAAGTCTAACCAAATAATTAAAATATTACAGCATCATATATCAGACAAAGATTTTCACTCTGTTAAAGGGCAATGTGGGAAATTATATTGATTTAGGGAGTTTTAGTATTTATTCCTAAATAGTTATCTGACCATTGCAAGTAGACTCTGCAAGATACTGGCAAGGTTTCTTCTAGTTGTGAGAGTCTTAAGTCTACATCAGTTGCTGTTTGTCTCTAATACTGGTTATAGTATGTATGATATTTTTTCTGAAAAAGATGATTTAAAGTAAAATGCTACAATTCCCTTTAAAAATTTTAATTGCAACAATTCATAGTATTTTAAACATATTTGTTATACAACCAGCATTATTAGAATAGAAGAAATTTTAAAAGCATAAAGAAGTAGTTGTACCTTTGAAACTAATAAAAGATTGTATATCAAAAATACTTAAAAATAAAGTAGAAAGAAGTTTAAAAATCCCAAAGCATATTCATTTTCTTGGTCAGCCTTGTGATTGATAACCTGGCATATATTTTCAGTGTCTTTTTTCAGTTACTTTAATTCCCTCATATATTTGATACTGGCTCAGATAAACTTACTGGTACTGCTGAACTTTACAAATAGAATTGCAGTTTTAATACCAATGAATGGTTCTATTTTAGGAATTGGTTTTATAAATGGAGATCTTTAATTTCTTCTTGGAATACAAGAAATTTATTGTGGTTATATATCTTAAGCATATGTAACAATGTACAACATATAGAGAGATGAATTATATTGTACTCTTGTCAACTATTAAAAGGCTGGCTCTGTATAATTATTTACTGAAGAACAAATACTTTTACAGTGAAAAGTAATTTCATATAGGATTTAATTTTTACTTATTTAGGAAGTTTTAGTTATTAGGGTCTTGTACTATTGAATGAAAGGTCTATAATGATATATACTAACATAGCTGATTTTTTGGAGTATTTAAGATGAAACTTAGGATTTACATAGAGATTATTTATAACCTTAAAATAACTACTTACCTTCATTTTATCTTAGCTTTCATTAGATCAAGGGCTAACTTCAGACTTGATATTGAGGAGTTGAATTCAGAAAGTAAAGAATAGTAGTCACAGAATCATATTCTCCTAAGAATTTGCAGCTTAATTATATTACTATAAATTATTCCAGTGTCATTGGTTGCTACTATATGCTTTAGATAGTAAAGCAAAATGAATAGCAAAGGCTACTTCCAGTACAAAGTAGAACCAGGAGAGGGCATTGTAATGCTGTTGTTAATAGGTGAGGCAGTTCCTTGTATTAGGAATCTGACTGGAATCCTGCAGTGATTCATTCATCAAATGTCTATCTTGCCATTTAACAAAAATTTATTGTCACCTTTACACCAAGGGATACAGATAAAAACAAAGTCACTGCCATTCTTGAGCTTACTTTTGAATAGTATGCTATTGTACAAATAATGTAGGACATTAAAGTGATTTTTATATTATGCAGATCCTCTTTTGTCTATACAGTTGTTAATGTTTGTGAATGGGGTGAGACAGACCAAATAGAAAAAATAGGCTTTATGGTTTTCTAACAAAGGTTACTCTGTGTATTGCTATTTTTACAACCTCTCTCACTTCAGGGTTATCAAAACTGTTAACATTAATACCTCAGTCAGTGAGGAGTTAGAAAGGGGTGAGTAGAACTAAATTTATATTTCTCAGACTATTTCCTTTTTAATATAGTGAAGTTACTCAAGACATAGATACCTTTGTGTAACTGTTGGAATACCAAAAGCATACTTTAACTCTATTAATTGTTCTCATAATGTATTTTAAATTTGCCATAAGTGGACTGTCTAGTACTACAAAAATGGATGTGTAGCATATATAAATTACAAAGCAATTTTACAATGAGTATGAGTTAAACCTACCACTCAACTTAAGAACTTGAATCTTAAAATACCTCCTGTGCTACTGCTTTTTTCTTTCCCTGTGCCTGCCCATAGTGGTAGTGACTAGTTTGTATTTTTGTTTATCATTCCTTTTTTTTTAAATAGAAAAATTTTTTTAATTACATATGTACCACTAAGGCTTGCTTAGGTTTTAATTTCCTAAGAATGGTATCATACTATATGTCATCATCTAAGACTTGTTTTTTGTAGTTAACATTCTCTTTCCAAGATTCAGCCATGTTTTGGGGTATAGAAGTAGATCATTCCTTTTCAGTGCTATATACCATTCTACTTTATACATACACAACAATATATTAATAAATTTTATTATCAATTGATGAATGTTTAAGTTGTTTTGAATTTTGCTCTTGTAAATAGTTGTTGCTATGAGCATGCTTATTGGTACACACATGTTAGAGTATTTCTAGGTAAAAAGCTTAGAGTGGAGTTGTTAGACCCATAGGGTATACTGAAATTCAATTTTATAAGGTATTCCTACACTGTTTTTCAAGTGCTTGAATTAATTTATTCTCCACCAGCGGTGCTTAAAATGTCTTATTAATCCCATCCTTCTCATTATTGAGTATTACCATACTTACTAATATTTATCAGTTTTACTGAGTATAAAATATTTGCTTCATTGTGATCTTGGTTTGTATTTTCCTGATTATTAAAGAGGATCAACATTGTTTTTGTGTATTTATTGGTCATCTGGATTTTTTCTTCCATTAATCAATGTTCTAGTTTTCCTGTTTTTCTTTTTTTTTAGTTAAATTTTTTTATTGAGGTATAATTGACATAAGACATATTTGGGGTATACTACATAATGATTCAATGTTTATATATACTGCAAAATGATCACCACGATAAATCTAATTAACATCCCTCATCATACAGAGTTATAGGATAGATTTTTTTTGTGATAAGAACTTTTAAGGTTTACTCTCATAACAACTTTCTAATATGCAATACAGTAATATTAACTAGAGTCACTGTGCTGTACATTACATCCATATGACTTATTTATTTTATAGGTGGAAGTTTGCATCTTTTAATCCCACTCCCTCCTCTGGCAACCACCAGTCTGTTCTCTGTATGTGTGAGTTTGGCTTTCTTTGTTGCTGTTACTAGTTTTTTTAGATTCCACACAAGTGAGATCATATGGTATTTGTCTTTCTCCGACTTGTTTTACTTAGCATAATTCCAACAAGGTCCATCCATGTTGTTGCAAAATGGCAAGATTTCATTCTTTTTTATGGCTGAGTGGTATTCCTCTGTGTGTGTGTGTGTGTGTGTGTGTGTGTGTGTGTGTGTGTGTGTATCACATTTTCTTTATTAATTTATCCATCAGTGGATACTTAGGTTGCTTCCATATCTTGGCTATTGTAAATAATGCTACAGTGAACATGGGGGTGCATATATCTTTTTGAATTAGTGTGTCTGTTTTCTTCAGATAAATATCCAGAAGTGAAATTGCTGGATTATATGGTAGTTTCTACTTTTAATTTGTTAAGCAACCTCCATACTGTCTTCCATACTGGCTGTACCAATTTACATTCTTACCAAAGTGCACAAGTATTCCCTTTCTCTATATCCTCACCTCATATAACACTTGTTATGTCTTGTCTTTTGATATTAGAAGTTCTACTGGTGTGAGGTAATACCTGATTATGGTTCTGATTGGCATTTCCCTGATGGTTAGTGATGCTGAGCATCTTTTCATGTACCTGTTGGCCATCTGTACGTCCTCACTAGGAAAGTGTCTATTCTGATCTGCCTATTTTTAAATTGGATTGTTTATTTTTATACTATTGAGTTGTATGAGCTCTTTGTATATTTTGGATATTAACCCCTTATCAGGCTATGATTTGCAAATATTTTCTCCATTGAATAGGTAGTCTTTTCATTTTATTGATGGGTTTCCTTTGCAATGCAGAGTCTTTTTGGTTGGGTGTAGTCCCACTTGTCTATTTTTGCTTTTGTATCTTCTGCTTTTGGTGCCAGATCCAAAAAAATTCATCCCAAGTCTGATGTCAGAGAGCTTACCACTTATGTTTTCTTTTATGAGTTTTATGGTTTCAGGTCTTACATTCAAGCCTTTAATCATTTTGAGTTATTTTTTATCTGTGGTGTAAGGTCCATTTTTAGTCCTTTGCATGTCATGGTCCGGTTTTCCCAACACCACTTATTGAAGAGACTCTCCTTTCCCAATTGTATAGTCTTGGATTCATTA